ATAAACTCACTACATAGAAGTGACATCAGTGAATACCAAATTTAAATGATCCACTAATCTGCATCTTTTCCCCTCCATCAATACACAGGACTTACCCTCAGCTCCTGCTCACAGCCCCCCCCTCGTCAGTACCACTATGTTTCCACAGAAATGAACTGGACCGAAGCCCGACAGTTCTGCAGAGAGAAATACACCGACCTGGCCACCTTTGACAGCATGGAAGACCTCAGCAGGCTGAAAGCTGATTTCTCTTATTCCCAGGCCTGGGTCGGACTCTGGGATGACCCTGAAAACTGGAAAACCTCCATGGGTAATGACACCAACTCTTGGAGGTGGTCAGCAACAGGAGAAACCAGCAGAACCGGGTACCAGAACTGGCGACCTGGACGACCATATTATGCCTATCAAAATAAAACATGTGTAGTGATGCGTTATGATGGAACATGGGTTGATGTGAGCTGTGAAGGGACCAGAAAATTCATCTGCTACAACGGTAATATGACACTTTATTGATTTAAAAAAATGAAAAGCAATAAAGAGCTTGTGAGCCATTTTATGCTTCTTATGTTTGATCCAAACCTAAAGCATGAAAAATTAGGTTCTGTTTCAGGTTTTGTGTCTGACTGAAAAATGTAACCACTCCCTTTTTGCCTTCTTGCTGAAGTGGTTTCTCTCCAGATATGAGATGCCAGTGAAGAGTTAGAAAACTTAAAGCTCAGATGAATAAGTTTTACCAGCTAATAGATTTAAGTTAGTGTGCTCATTTAGGGAGACATGTAGCTTTTTAATTAAGCTAAACGGGATCCAAGTTGTGGGAATCTGTTGTTAATATCTGAGAGGAATAGCTGAACTCACTGTGGGTTATTTTCTGCTGCAGTTTCAGAGAACAACAAGAAAACCTATTTCCACATCCCAACCTACAAAACATGGCAGTCTGCTCAGCAGCACTGCAGGGAACACTTCACCGACTTGGCCACGATTGAGAATGAGGCAGAAAACACTGAGGTCAACAAAGTAAAACCAAGCGGGTATGAGTATTGGATCGGTCTGTACAGGAACCCCTGGACTTGGTCTGACCGTAGCCAAAGCTCCTTCAGGAACTGGCACCCCACCTACAAGTATCACTACTATTATGTTCACCAACGCTGTGTTAGTGAAAATATATACCACGAGTGGATTCCATATGATTGTGGATCTAAGTTTCCCTTCATCTGCCATCAAGGTGACTAC